CACCAAACCCCCCCCATCCCGGCCTTTTCGAGGTTTCAGAGGGTGGAAGTGGCCCTGGACTAGAAGCTGCCGGGAAGGAGAGACCATATCCATCTGTTAGGGCTTGACACGGGGGGGCTTGGCCACCAGCTCCTGGCACCTCTCCAGAAGCTCCCAGGCTTTCAGCGTGGAAGAGCATGGTCTATGCTCTCTGGAGGTGGCCCCAGGCAGGGACATCCCAGGAGGCCACCTGGAACTGCCGTCCATCCCGGCGGAGGACGTGGCTGCATCTCTGGAGCAAAAGGCTGCCCGATGGATGAACGTCCTAGACCAGCAAGTAATGAAAACCGAAGAAAAGGTAAGAAGACATTCAAGGAAAGCTCCCTTCCAGCACAGTCCTGTCGCAGACGCGCACACACACGCACACACAATGTTTTGCAAAATTTTTAAAGGGATCCTGGAAACCCTCCGGGGAGGAGCACGCGGCCCAGCAGAACCTCACTCATCAGCACCCGTTGAGGACGAGCCCCTCGGCGGGGCTTTGGGCTGGGACCAGGCAGGGGATGCAGCACTGGCCCCACCACTTGGCTTCTAAAACACATCTCCAATACTTTCACCCATCAATGGCTTGGGACAGACTCTGATGTGTTACAGCTAAGGAACGTCTCTCAGAATAAATGAACAAATTTTTATCCCTTTTTGTTTTTTGCAAAGGGTGTTTTGTTCTTTTCTTGGTGGCCCCAAGCCCCGCATTGTTACTCAGGCAAGGTGGCCAGTGAAATCTGATGGCCATCTCCTTCTTCCAGCATCAGCCACATGAATCCCAGTTAATTCACCAACGTCAGTGCCTCTCCCCCAGATTTCCATTTTCCGGGCACCCAAATTAAAGCCGATTAAAATCCCGGTGCCGCCACAAGGTGAAGGCAGCTGCCTGCCTTCAGAAGAACATGCTTCAGAAGGCAAACTTGATTTAACGTCCCCAGAAATCAATTTTAAGAGCCATCTGTGGTCTCCAGACCAGACCGGGAGGTGGACACGGAACCCGGGCTGGCGCTGGAAGAGGGGAGCATCGCCTGAGCACGGACGGGGAGCCGGGGCTCCGGCGAAGGGAAACCGCGTCTCCCGGTCGCTCGTGCGAATAAGTGAGGTTCTACTGTTAGTACAAGATATTCCAGGTTACGCGCGGATGTGATGGATTCATTTCCTTAGTTAAAGTACCAAAATTAAAAGTTATCAGCAACACATCTAAATAAAATAGTGGGCACTCCTTTAGGCATCGTGTTTCCTAAACCAATAAGCAAAAAGGGAAAAAAAAAATGGGATGCACCAGGAACTCTTAGTTATTATATACTAACCAGACTGTGCATGGCACATTTTATTTCTATAAAACTATTAAAACTATTACAAAATATTCAAAAATACATTTTAGTAAATTTACAGCAGTTATTTCTCAATTTATTAATGCAAAACATCCTTTTCTCCCCTCTGTAAAAACTACCGTCTCCATCATCACAGAATTGCTGCCATGTGCGCTTTTTAAAAAATATTATTTTCTAATAAATTTCTTTTTGAAGTTAAAAATAACAAAGTTTCTTACGGTTTTTGCAAATAAAAAGTTTGTGTAACAGTCTTGACTTCCATGAACGTGGCCAAATGGTGTTTTTACAAAGCAAAACATGGAAAACAATACAGGAAATGACGTTACATTTGAAACTATTTAAATTAAAATAATATATTCTCATATTTTACACTATTTCAAAAAACGAAATGTGATTCAGTTAAGTATTGATCTCTCAAAAAAATCTAATTTACAATTCTGTGTATAAAAATATAATTTACGGACCCCCATGAAGTTTGTCTTTTTTTTTTGTGTTTGTTTGCTTGCTTGTTTTTTTAGACTTGCTGAAATGAAGGAGCAATGTAATGGAGAGATGGGAAAGTACAGAATTTTGCTTTCTGAAAGTCAGGACACACGTGACATGTAGAAAAATAGACTCTGCGCAGTTTTGCTTGGCCTCACAAAATAATTTTTTCCCCTGTGAGTACAGTTCACATGATAATAAATTATCAAAGAAACTATTTAAGGCTCTTGAAGGTCCGGTTCATATCATTTAAAACATCTATTCAAAATACCAAAGAAATAAATATCCAGGAGAGGAGGAAAAAAAAAAAACCAACAAACAAAACAACAAAACAAAAGAACAAATAAAAATATATATATATTTATAAACTAAACAGAACAGGACTTCCCGGGGTCTTTGTTTCCCTTAAAGTCTACTTTGGACTGTCCTACTTAATTATTATTATTATTTTATTATTATTATTTTTAAGTCTTAATCCGTGCTCTCTTTTAAAAATATGTAATTTTTTTCCTTTTTTTCTTTTAGGTTTTTCTTTTCTTTTTTTTTTCTTTTATTTTTTTCTCCTTTCTCTCTCTCTCTCTCTCTGTGTCTCTGTCTCTCCCTCAGAGGCTGGG